TGCTGCTTTGTGCAGGTGGCTTTCGCACTGTTGCATAGACAGTGATGGGAACATCAGTTATTGTCAGGCAATGACTTGCGGGGCATCTGCGGAGTTGCCTGTTTGGCGATATCTCATTCCTGTTACAGGCAGCACTGGAGTTCAGCTCTGATTCTCGTCCAATTGAAGAATCTCCTCCTTCCACTGGAAACCTCCTTGGCTGAGTTCCAAACCGTAAAACCATAATTCCCTGAAAACCTTCCATAGAAAGCTGGAACTGCCAAAGGAATGATGATCAAAGGTTCCAGTAACACCCAGAAATTATGACATCAGAAGATTCTTTGACATAGTTTCCTGCCTGCAGTTTACCCTGGAATCTGGAACTGCCGCAGCACAAAGATGTTGACAAAGTGGCAAGGACCGCGGGTCTCAAGCTTGGCCTTTTTCTTGTTCAGACCCTTTCTTCTAACGCAGGTGCTAAGCTGTCACTAGGATGAGGTCTGGGGTGGTCAAATGCAGGAGCTGAGCCCAGAGCCTGCAAGTCACACGCATCACTCCAGCTCCCGCCTCAGCACCCAGCCCGATCACGCCACCAGGCCAGGGAATGAGGAAAGTGGCTTCTAGCTGAGCAGCCATGTGCCTGCTAAAACATCCATTGTTACATAAGGAGGCGAGACATATCGGAGGGTAAGCAGTCCCTGCTAAGGTCAGTCATCGAGAGAGGAAGCTCTGGGCCTGCCTCGTCCCGCGCAAAACCACGAAAGAATATAACCAAGTGGGATGAACCCCATGTGAATAACGCTGAACCGATATACCTATAGCTATATATACATAGCTATATATATGTCTATATCTATATATGCTATATATCTACATATCTATATCTATGCAATATATCTATATCTATATTAAAGGTTATTAGCTGGGCATGGTGGCACGCACCTCTAATCGCAGCACTAAAGGAGGCTGAGGTGGAAAGATTGCAAGTTGCCAGCCTGGGCGAGTTAGCAACTTTTCAAGACCCGTTCTCAAAATTTTAAAAATGACCTAAGATGCAGCTCAGTGCAAAGGCTCTGGGTTCCACCTCCAATACAGAAAGAAAAGAAAGGAAATTGATGAGAAAGGCCTGACTGGGCTGGGTTGCAGCTCAGTGGTACAGTGCTTGCCTAGCCTGCATGCCTGAGATGCTGGGGCTGATCCCTAGTACTGCACAAAAGAAAACAAAACCCCACAAAAAACAAACATATTCCCACAAACTGCAGATCTTAATTTCCTATTAATCAAGTATTACTTAACCCACATCTGTCAACAATTCATGACAAGAGCTACTGACTGTGACATAAACCCTCCAGGTCTCCACTACTAAATTATACCATAATCAATGTCTATTGTAGTTTTCTGTAAAGCAAAACACAGGAACAGCTGGATGAACTACTTGTCAAATGGGCTAAGTGCCGTTTCTCTGCTGGGGATCAAACCGAGGCAAGCACTCTACCACTGAGCTGTACCTCCAGGGGTGTCACCCCTTCACCCAGGAAGGTCCCGCTTTCTTGACCTGCTCAGCTCCTGTTAGAAGCATTGTTCCTGCCTTATGTTGGAGAAACAGCACCCAACCCAGTCAGCCAACAGTGCTCTATCCCCAAGACCACAGGCAGAAACGGGACGCAGGCCTGGCCACACACACCATCAGAATCCTGAACCTCTGAACCTAAGGACGGCACATGGAATCCAGACCAGGTCAATCAGAATCATATGCTATACCCAACTTCCTCTAAGATCACTGGGATGATTTAAGTCTGCAATTGCCCGACTCCGATTTGTACTATGGAGAGGAAGCCTCTAAGTGGGAGGGGACAAGAAATCCAGAAAAGGATAAGGAAAAGGGAGACAGAAAATGAGATAACATTAAATTCCAGAACTAGTTTACTCTGCAGCTAGCTCTACCTTTGCTCTCACCAGTCAAATGAACCAACAAATCTTCTATTGCACAGGTAGTTTTAGTTAGCTTTCTGTCACTACAAATGAGTCTGATATGCAGAAATACATCTAAGGAAAAAGGAAGCCGAGAGGATCCCATGTAGTAAATGCTGGTTGTTTGAGAAGACGACAGGGTAAGACCGACATACAAGCTTCCGTTCAGAACTAAGTTCAC